GGGTGGCACTGCAGTATGATAATGTGTAGATGATACAACTTTATACTAGAGCAGTATTTGGATACCTGCTGATTTTTATTTGTTGATATGCAGTACTTCCAGATAAACAGTTCAGATACTCTGCAATGTACGTATTTTTCAATATAAGCAAATACTGCTCTTACCACTATGGAGAATATGCTCTAGGTCAACGACAAGACGTTGTGCTAGATGTAAGAATTACCAGTTTAAGGCTTGTATTATGCAAGAGGTCAATTAGATGATGACAGTAGTTCCTTCAGATCTTAAAATATGGACGTGAATGGCTGAGGCCACTCTGTGCTGCAATGGTGGAAGCCAGAGGCTTCCTGCAGCTCCGACTGCCTCTGAAGATCAGAACTGGGAGGGCGGGCCTTGAAGCTGTCGTTCTGCAGCTCTTAAGCTCTCCTTTCTTGTGCTGGAGCTGCTCCTGGATATGGGGAATTGAATGCTTTGCACTGAAGATACCTGCATTGACTAACTGCAAAAGATTGCTTGAATATAGGAAAATATGCAAGTACAGAAGACTGTCCCAAAAATGTGTTACTGTGTTGTACAAGTGAGCCTTTCAGTGAGCAATATCCAGAGGAGAACTTTGGAAGGAACACCTACAACTTATAGAGGGGCTTGTCATTTACAAATGATGATGATAATAATGCAAACGACAGAAGTCTGTTTCCTGAGTTGCTGTAAATGGAAGGGTGTTTTTAACACTCCTTCTTTTCTAAGACAAATGTAGGAAGCTGGCGAAGTAGCTAATTTCAGTGCTCTAGAGAAGTTTAAAGTGGAATAATCTAAGGAAACGGAAGCCTCTATTTTTAACTGTCTTGGTCATGGGAGATGGGGAGGAAGAAGAGCCATCTACTGTTGAAGCCTCATCAGTATGTTGCTGTATAAAATTAATTTTAATTTCCACTGCTGTTTTAGTGAACAGGTACTTGTTATTTGTGGTTGTTCAATTAGTTCAAATTAAGGTCACTGTAGGCTTGATGGCATGGTGTGTCTTCTAAAATTGTGCTTTTCTCTTCTATTGATTGCTTTTTACTTTCCCATTTTTTTGATAGATTGGAAATTTTATGCTGTAGAAAATACATTACTTGTGTTGCCTTACTGTATGATTTAGTATCTTATACTGAAAAATATTTTTTTTATAGTTCTGAAATTTTTTGTCTTGAGTTTGAGTAGATTGTCTTAAGATTTTGATTTTTTTTTTTTAATTATTAAAAATTTTATGAAAAGTACATTATCTGGCTGGATTTCTTTGGATTTTTCACAAAATATTTTTTGTTTCTGTATTTTAGCAAAAGCATGACTGTGGAATTAGGAGTAATTCTTTATATTATTTACTTGGAAGTACTTTATTGGTCTGACTTGAAGCTTAGATATAATATATTGCACAGCTACTGGCAACCATAGAAGTAAGAGCATAAAACTTGATAACTGCAGCATCTTGAATAATTTCTGATGAACATAAATCTGTAGGCTTTTTCTTCAGTATATATATTACTGTGTTAGTTTGGAAGGTCAGTATTAAGGATGTCTGTAGGTGGCAAGTGTATTTGAGGAATGGTGATAATACTGGTATAATTGAACATTGGGAAAATGGGCTTTTAAGTACATATTCTGGAGGCTCTTCTCAAGACCTGGATTGGCATGATGTATTTGTAGTTTATATAAAGTTGTATTTGTGAATGGTAGTTTGAGAATGTTGAGAATCAAAAGCTTAGAAATGATGCAAACTAGCATGTCATAAAACGTAAATCATTTGGCAGCTATATCTGTAATTTTAAAGTAAAGGCAAAGAGTGAGCTGTGGACAAGAAAAAGCAGCAAATCGTTGCATTTCCTTATATAGTTATTGGGTTTTAAGGAAATTATTTTACTTAGCACGACGGGTTTTGCTCCTGTTGTATAAAAGAAGCAAAGATTTTGGGAAGATAGAAGTTTTTCTTGTTACAATATCCTTTATATTTGGAAAATAAAAAGACGTTTTGAGCAGTATTCTTTAATGGGTTTATTTTTCGACCACTCATAATAACCTTAAAGGTAACTGTTACGTGTTCTTGTAACAGCAGCTAAAATATGGATCTTTTAAATCAGTAGGTAGAGAATGCATATGTATGCTAATATATGCAGTATTCACTAATGATTTGTTCATCACCACTTCTAGGCAGCTGAAACATTCCCATAGGTGCTTGACTAAGCGTCTCCTACTCCTGGAAGAGTGGAAAAACCTTAAATAGTGGGGTGACTGCAATAGATCACTGCTTGCAAGAATTGGAGTCTGAAACCAAAGGCATCAAAGATCTTGTCAACGTTTTTCCACTTCAGTTGCTTAGAGCTAAATGAATCTTAGTAGCTCTTCAGAGAAGTGTTTGAAATGATGCCCTTGGATTGTGTGTGTCACATTAGTTGCACTCTTTCTCTCCCACAGAAAGTATTGCTTTATTAATGTAATTCAGAAACTTGAGAAGCAATCTGGAAAGCTTGCCTTACAGATCTGTGGCATAGTTTGGGCAGGAGTCTGCTGGAGTTGCAGTGTAATGCCCTCTTTGATTGCGTGTTTCCCTCTGTGCCCTTGGGTGCCAACTCCATTAAGGCAGGCTTGGGACCACAGCTGTGGCCTTTTACAAGGCAAAATTTCTCTGCTGTATAGGCAGAGTTGGTGAGTAACAGCACAGTAGCATGTTAGAAGACACTACACAGAAGTGGTACGAGAGTCCCTGAAGTTCCCAGGAATTAGATAATTGAACATGCCTGAGAAACGTCATACATGGTACTTTCAGGAAAAATACAGGACAAGTATAACAATTTTCAAGCAGGCTGGAGGAGAGGAAAGAAGAGCAAAGCTGTTTGGACAGGTTAAATGAGAAACTCCTGTCTTGAATTTCTGGTATTAGCAGTATAGACTTTTCTGGGTGTGAGGCATTTGCTTACTGTTTTATCTCACAACTTGTTTTTAATAGGATGTATGTGAAGTCATGGTATACATATTCTTTTGGTACTTATATATACATCACTTTGTTCCAAGACTTGAAAAGAATGGTCTCCCAAATATATATTTTTCCAACCATTGTTTTATACTCAGTCCAGTTGTATTTACTTTTTCCTCCCATTGTTTGTCACTTTCTGCTTCATTTTTCTAGACGCAGTTTCTGGTAACTTTTAACATGTATTTTCTCTTTTATTAGTATCATTGAGTAATACCTATTGGTGGAAATAGTTTCATGAAATTCATTTCAGTGAGATTTAATTGAATATACTCCAAATATAGTAAGTTTTTTAATTGGGGCTTAAAATATTTTAAAATATCAAATTACTTGAGTTTTCAGTGCTAGCAGTGCTGAGCTTGTTTGTACACTTGGATGTGACAGACATCTGTTTCTAATTTCATTAAACTTCACTTCATGTCTAGGGGAATCACAGAATCATCCTAGTTGGAAAGGACCTTGAAGATCGTCAAGTCCAGCCATAGCCTGAGTCTACCAACCATCACCTAATCTACCTGTTCAATGCTTAAATCATGTCCCCAAGCACTACATCTATATTTCTTTTAAACACTTCCAGAGGTGGTGATTCAACCACTTCCCTGGGCAGCCTGTTCTGCTGTCCAACGACTCTTTTGGTAAAGAAATTCTTCCTGATATCTAGTCTAAAACTCCCCTGGCACAACTTCAGGCCATCTCCTCTTGTCCTGTGATTATTCACTTGAGAGAAGCCAACTCCCACCTCCCCACAACCTTTCATGTAGTGGTGGAGAGCAGTGAGGTTTCCCGTCAGCCTCCTCTTCAAACTAAATAATCGCAGTTCCCTCAGCCTCTCCTCACAGGACTTATTCTCCAGACCTTTCACCAGCTCTCCTCCAGCACAGCTCTTCTGCCCCTCCTTCTCTGCTCAGGTGTTATCTCAGTTATTTCGTATGTTAATGACAGAGGTGCATCTATTGTCCCTCCTATGACTCCTTGGCTGGGTTTGGAGCAGGGGCAGCTTCTCAGCTTCTTACCGGAGCCACTCCTGGGGCCCCTTCCCCACTACCAAAAAACCCCACCAAACCAGAACAAAAGGTAACAAGTTAGTCAACAAATGGTGACATAATCTTTCTGGATATAGGACGTGTGAAGTTAGTGAGGCAATGCAGTAGATGGGAAGACAGTTTTTAAGAACTTTACCCTTTTGCTTCTCTACTACTTGAGAGATAGTCAAGATACCTTAATAAACTAGAAATAAGGAAGCAACGAAATAGTGAGAATGTGCTAATCCTTTTTTGATATAAGCTTGACATGATCCTGTAAGATCTGCAGGAATATTCAGCTGCGTGATAGTGTCTTGCAGCATTAAGACCATTTTAGTTAGTCGTTATTGACATGTAAAGCTTATTTTGATGCCTCATTTTCTACTACTATGTCTAACTTCATGGGCTTGATTTTGGAGTTTTGTGGCCCATTTTTGTTCCTCCTTATCTGCTGGGGACCTCCCTTTCCCCCTCTGCTTCATTTTCTTTCTGCATTGAATCCCTCTGTTACTCTTGTTCATATGCAAAGGGCTTATTGCTAAGAACTCACTGTTAAGATCTTACAGGTGCACTTTTCATCCTTACTCAACTGATTCCCATTAGGGAAGTACAGATGTTTTCTCCTCATCTGGTAGTTGCATACAGAAGTTGTGACCAGCAGTAAGAAGAGAGTAATTCTGTTCATGTATGCATACACTGAACCTAGAAATAGGCTTTAATATATACTGAGGTAATTGAAGATCGAGAGCTGAGTGACTTGCTCTTCTCCAGCAGAAGACTGCAGAGTTGTGGTTCGCAGGATGGCAGAAATAGAGTTTATTTGCAGGGCTGGCCTGTGCTAACTAGGACCTCAGTTACCAACAGCATGCTATTGGAAAGCACTGTTATAGAAATTGGTGAAAAAGTTATGAAAATTGATAGAAAACCAGAACACTGCTTTACTTGTGTGCTCAAAAGCTGTACTGCCTCTGGACAGGTGTAGTGTCATGCTAGGCTGCTTACACAGGTGGAAGAATTCAGCTTGCTTCTCAGATTCTTCACCATTAAATTTTGCTTATCTTTCAATTTAGGCTTTTGACTTTTATCTGTTTGTGGGCTTTTTTTTTAAGTCTCTCTCAATATATGCAAGTCCTTAAGAAGATCTTTTCAAAGTTTAAAGATTCTGAGTTACAAAGGCAACTTTGTTAGCATTAGCAAAAGAAAAGTCATAAATACCTTGCATGTTACTGTTTCTAGCTAAGAACACATTCAATATGGAAATCCAATTTGTCATCAGTTCAGGAGAACTGTAATTTCCTAATTTCATCCCCTTAACTGTCTCATCTGCTGCATATTTTTGCTGTCCTCTTATAGCTTATTCCCCTATATACTTTTGCCTGCTTTCTGGTCTGGATGTGAAGTCACCTGCTGCTCAGATTGCCTTCCTTCAGCCAGCCCCTCCAGCGGTTGCCCCTGCCCTACTGCTAATCTTAGGTTCTGGCTTGTGGCTTTGTACAGTTGCTTGTAAATTTGGGCTATCTGTGCATACACAAAACCCCATGTTTTAGAGGACTCATGGACAGTCTTAACCCCTCTGCCCCCATTTTTTAAATTGTTTATTTTCTGAGGAAAAAAAAAAGTAGAAACAAAACCAGTTTTCTTAAAAGCACTGACTTAACCCAGCTGTGATTTTAGAAGAAGGAATTCCAGTCATCTTGATGAAATGTGAGTATATTTTCAGTAAGCATTTCCCACAATAGTTGTGTCCCGAACCTGGATATGGGTTATAGCTTCTGTTAAGAAATGGATAGCTGCTTGGAAGACTTGGCTGCTTGTGTGAAACTCTTTCAGCAGTTCCTGAGCAGCCAGACAAGCCATGCAATAGCTGCAATTGGACACAGTGTTTTATTTTATGTTTCCACGTACTAAGCCAATACTTCCTAGCTCTTTTGGGAGTATGATAAAGGATAAAAACAGAAGTATAATATTTCTCTGTTGCTGCTTGTTAGTTAATGCTTATTCTTTCCATAGTAGTGAGCAGAAAGGAGGTTAGAGGGAGTACACATAAATTTATATAGGTGTTTTAAATAGCAAATATAAACTTCTGTTGCTTCTTCTCAGTTAACAAATCATGTAGGGTGTCTGCTGTTCATACAGATGGGTGCTTTTGCATAATGAAATCTAATTGTTCAGGGTTTTCATGGCCACCTACCCCATTTAGCATTATATGTAGCAGAGACAATGTTACATAAAATGAACCCATCTGAAAAGGGTTAATGAGATTTAAAAAAAACAAATATGCAAACAAAAAACGTAAAGAGACTGCCTAGCATGAGAAAGTGAATTGTTTTTGTTTTGGAGTTGACTGATTCAATGTAGTTCATAAGATAAGATGTGGTGACCTGAAACACTGCATGTAACAAAATCACTTCACTTGGGTTTAAGGGGCCAAAATAGAGTATTTGTGCCATTACTTCCTTTTTTCCTGAATTATTTTTTTCGGCACAAGCTCACAGAAGTAGATAGCTGATAACATTTTACTTTTCTTGGCCCACACCTGCTCAGTTGGCTGTAAAACAAGGGCATTGATGGACTGAGGAACAGAATGGTTGATGAAGTTACCGCCTCTGATGTCATGTTGCGCAGATGTTAGAGCTGCTTTCTACCCAGCTCCTGAAGCATTATAGTTTATGGAGTGAGGTTAAAAGGAACTGCCACCAGCTTATTTGCCACACTAGAAACAGCAGCACATCATGGCTCAGGAGGTATAATCTGCAAATAACTCAGATGTTTGTGGGAGTGACATGTTTGTCAGCTGTCTCAGCATAGGTTGTCCTGGTTTGTAATACTATATATTAAAGGCAGTTAACATTTGTTTCCATTTAAAAAATAAATTGATTAATAATTAATTCATCTAATGACGAACACAGATTTTTCTTAATACTTAAAGGTGTTGATTCATTACTGTAGCTGGCAAATGCCATCCTGTGCCTTCTCTTTTGCACATTGATGTATGCTATGTTGGCTTATGTAACTGTAAAATTAATAGAATCGAAGATACTGATTTGACGCTATTTGCCACTCCTTCATGTGCTTATTTGCTGTTGTTTAAAAAAATAAATAAAAAATTACTGCAAAATATAGTGTGATCATAAAAGACTGAATTGCAAGTGACCTTTAGAAGAGCTGATGCTATTATTTCCTTGCTGTAGGGTAGCATTTTCTTTCTAAGGGAAATGTATCCCAGCGATGACTTTGAATATAATTACATTCTTTATCCTGAACACAGAGTCTCATTTGTGCAAGTTTCTGTCCAGCCATCAGTATTGTGTATTTATTTTAATGAAGGATTGAGTAGATGTTCAGTAAGTTACTTTATTCATAACTTGAGATTAAATTATGCATCAAAATGAGCATAAATCATCTGGAAAAAAAAAAGTTCTAAACAACTTTTTGTTTTGAAACGTTTGGTGAACTTTGTTGTGCTTTTGACACATCAGTCAGTATGTCATTTGCCAAATCGTATTTCAAAATCCAGCTAATTTTTATGACGTGGATGCATGTGGAGAGCTGAGTGTGTGACAGAGGATGGACAGCGAAGCAAACCACTGGTGTGCACCAGAGTGCTGTAACAGGGGTTCACAGCAGCATTTGCTGCAAAGAGCCCTGCCTGGCTGGCATCTCCTGCCACGATCTGAGGCTGCGTGTGTCTAGCTGCTGTGCAGCTGCTTCTGAACCATGTAGGAATCCTCTTCCTTCAGCAGCTGGGCAAGGTGTGCCTGGCATGTCCCTGCCCTACTTGGTGGGGTGGCAGGCAGGGGCTGCTGAGGAAAGGGGTGCTCTCTTCAGGGCAGCCAGCTTGAAGGAGCTGGGTGGGTTGGGGCTGCTGGGTGGTCATGACACAGCTGACTGGCCACAGACTTTCTCTGTGCAGAGAAAGTCGTGCAGGCTCTGGAGCACTCTCCTGCAGAGGCCTGAACTGTGGTGGTAGAGAATGTGCATGAAGTGCCTCCAGGTCTGCAGTGTGACTTTTAAAAACAAAATAACAACCTTCCCAAACTCCCCCTCAGCATAGGCAGCTCTTCCTATGTCTGTGAAACAACAAAAATTAATCATCCATTCCTACTCAGTTTCTTGTTTTGCTTTTTTTGCTTTGTGGTTGAGGGGAATAAGAACCACAACACAAGAAAAGAGGATCAGATGAGTTTTATAGCAATGGCTGTAATATAAATTCATATTTGAAAGGAGGGAAGAAAAAAAAATTCTGGCTGAAAGCTTTCAGGTGTGTGCATGACTTCTCATTTTGCCTTCTATCTTTCTTATTTGTCAATCTTCAGTACTGTAATCAACTTATCACTGAACTTATCAGAATGTTTAGTTATTTTTCTGGTGATCCTAATACTTGTTTTTAAATTGGCTGGTTATTTTTCACATCCATAGTGTGAATTAATAGTTTTTGAGTCTGTAATTTGCATTTGTCAGGAAAATGAAGAGAATGTTGTAAGAAAATGCTTCTCCCTAGCTGTCTGTTGGGGCAAATTTTATTAGACATTTTTTCTGTTGGATTTGCTGTTGGACCTGTCCAAAATCAGGAACAAAAATAAAAGCACTATTGGTTATTGGTGGTTTTGCATCCTTTCCTCCCTATCCCCTAAAAATGGTGGCTTTTCTTCAGAACTTGCTGGTTCTTGTTCATAAATAGCCATCATGGTTAGCACTTTCTTCTTAATTCAGGCCCACTTTGGAAGATTAGATGACCCTGGATATTCAGACATCTAGATGTTGTCTGAGCGATGGCAGCTAGTTTGCATCAGAGTTTCTACTTTGGAGACACCTTTGTGATTTTTAGTGATCTGGTTCTGTTTTTGAAAATCCATGAAATGAAATTGCTGCTCCATGCTACCAATTAAACTGTTTTGGACTGTTGAAGTATGCTTTTTCTTGAACCTGGAAGTGTTCCTTTATTATTTAGAGGCTGAGGTTTTCTGTGGGCTTCTTGGGGTTTGAAATTAGCTTCTGTTAATGGAGTTATACTACAGCTGAGAGCAGTTTTGCAGTAATTTCTCTAAAATGGTATTTGGCCATTGCATTTTGCTGTCTTCTTTCCTTCCCACCCACTCCCCGCCATGAACTGATGCATTCAAGAAATATTGGTTGCTGCTGCATATTCAGAAAGGTGTAGTAATGTATTCTGGAATCCTCTGTGTATGGGTAATGAATAAAAATAGGAAATAAGCATAGAAGGAGGAGGAAGAGCACCTCTTAGAGACAGTTTTATTGAACTATTCAGTTTTATTTTGTAGTTTGTATTTTAACTGTTTAGCTTGATAATTGATGCAGGGAAAATATTAAGAGAACCTGCATTTTCAGATATGTCTGTTTTACCTTAAGTAAATAGCAGACTCCTCTTTATTCTTAACAAACATATTTTAGTTTTGGCAGAGTTAGAGGTAACAAAGCCAATGTGTGTGACAATGCTTGTAGATTTTTCTCCGTTTTATTTGCAGGATTTAGGTTATTGAGGCCTTCTTATGTGTTTCTGTATTTGCCTTTGAAAGTTTCAGGTCACAAAAGGTTGGATGCCTGATGACTGAAGAGCATAATTTTGGAAAGGATAAATGTTTCAAGATAATGAAGAAACAGTAAATCACTTAATCTGAAGTTATGGTTGGCTCTTTGATTTTTGCAAAATTGACCCCTATGGCTGACTATCATTTGTACTTAGGCTGTAGATCCAGTGTTTGCAACCAGTTAATGTTATAAGACTGGTCCCAGAGGAATTATGTCTTCAGCTGGAAGTTCAGAACCTTCTTATTAGTGTCTATCAGATTTTGGGGTGGCACAGGAGGTGATCAATCATGGCAGAAAAAATGCCTTAGTTTGTTTACTGCTGTGAATAGCATAGTTCACGGCAACCGTGGTCATTTTATTATTTTATTAAAGATGGCAGCATTTTTGTTCTGTCTTTATAATGCCTTACTAGTTGTTGTCTTTAATACTTCAAAACATTTTAACAGATGTGCCTTTTACAATTATTTATATAGAAGACCTCTTCTTTTTTACAATGCTTAAGCTAATTAAAAAAAGAGTACAGCAGTATTTCCAGAAGATACTTAATTTCAGCTGTCTAGGTCTGTAATTTGTGGCTGACCTCCAATCTCTGTATCTGCATCTGGTTCTGTTTTGTTATTCTCAAAGCTGCTAGTTTCCCTAGCTGAAAAAAAAAAATTAAAAATCTTGTCCTCAGATTTGTGCTGGTTAAACCAGAATTTTTTTTGGTTGTTGACTTAATTAAACCAGTGCAAAAACACAGGGAGAAACTTCCAATCCTTAGTTTAAGCTTTACATGTTTTAACCTAGATGAATTGAATGAAGAAGGTTCAAGCAACATAATTATGAATGTGACTAAATTGAGAATCAATGTGGTGTTATGCTTTGTCTGAAGGGAATCCAATTTGGAGCAACTTTGAATGTAGGTGAAAATAAGCAACATCAAATTAATAGTAGTCTGAATATCTGGAACATAGCTTTTTATATGTTCTTTTTCTTACAAGGTTTCCTTCAAAACCATCAATTAAACTTTTCGTGTATGCCTTTTAACATAGGAATGAAAACTGGTTAGACCAGATGCATTGGCTTTCTTCCTTTTTCCAGAAGGCGAGTGTTGTCCCTTTCCTGGAGGTCTGAGCCCTGGTGGGATCACAGAGAGCATTGAATTACAGCTCTTGTAGTATGAAAAGTTAGAGTATCATGTGCACGTTTTACTTACGAGTAAAGGGTGAGGGTGTGTTTGTATTACAGACAAGCCTGTCTCATAACTCATTCCAAAGAAAATTTTGTCTATAGTGTGGTAATTTAGGAGGCAATGTCTAGACTACTTTGAGGATTTGTAAACATGATGTCTTCAAAACAAAATAATGAGAGTTCAAGAAAAATGCTGTATGCTGTATTTTTAATATTTGACTGAATTCCAGGGAGATCAGAGATATTTTTACAATACTTGGTCTGCTAGACTGCTATATGAATTACTGAAGGAATGCATATACCTGTAACACTTTCTTTCTTGAATACAGAAGCTGTGGATTTGAACAATTACATAATGTAAACTACTTATCAGTAATGGAAAAAATTTACTTTAAATAGTGGGGCACATATTTAAACAGTTTATGTACCTCTTTGTCTTATTAAACTGTTTATACGTTTGACAATCCATAGCATATCAAGCTTTCTATTATTTGACCTAAATGACTTGATCTTTGTAGTGTTTTACAGAGCTGTTCAAACATTACATTTAAACTACTGAGGATTTTTTTTTAATCTACTGCAGTTAATTTTGAGCATTTTAATCTCAAGGATACTAAGGTAATTTTAGGAGGCAGCTTTTCTGTTTGCAATGTGCAGAGTTTTGTACATTTTGTTAATGGTTGAATGATGTGCTTAGTGGACCACTAATGCTAGCTGTAGTAGTATTTCCATAATGTGAAGTATTTACCAATGGATTCTTCTGGTTGGTTTTGGTTTTGAGTGAGGAAAGGCATCTGTTTAAAAGACAGACATGTTCTACTTCAAAGTTATTCTTTTATACAGGTGTTATCAGATGAAGTACAAATGGCCTGTTGCAGTGATCTCTATTTTGCAGTGCATTTGTGAGCATAGTCCAGATCTGGTCTCAGGAAACCTTAGTTGGGTATTATATAAGAACAGAATTTCCATTGTACACCAGGTAATATTATGCAATAGTTTATGCTGAAACTAAATCAATCAATCCCTAAGTTAATGCATACATTTAATCTTTGCAAAGCTGTCGTCATTCTAGGTATTAGAAATGCCCCAAGAAATACATGTTGAAGATGTATGTATATCCCATGTATAATTGAAACAATTACATTAACTAGAACAATGATTAGGGAAGTAAGCGTGATTTAACTGAACAGTAAAGATTTTTTTATTTGCATCACTTGTTCTTCCTAGTTTATTTTTTTCATATACCTTGGTGTTCTAGAACAATGTTGGTACAGAGTTTTCCTGCAGAATTTATAACCCAGTGTTTTCAGTGTTCCTGTCAGGCCTGAAATTGCTGTTCTGGTATTCTATGACCCCCTTGTGTTTGCCTAGCAAGGGGTGTGATATTTTAAGCTGCTAGATAGTAACACTGTTACTTATTAGTTACAATTTCTGCTCTTAATGGCTTCAGAATTCTTTAGAGACATTTGTCTCTTTGTTTTGAGGGAGAGGAAGCAATTTGAATGAGTCTGGATCCAGAGAGTATCATTAGTAGTTGGAAATGCGTAAATGAAGAGATACCTATTATGTCATGCTTTTTTTTTTTTGTAAATATTCATTTTTTAAAAGGCAAACAATTATACTGCTTTGATGCCTTAAAGAAGTTCAAGCCTATAAAGCTTATAGTAATTTTTTAGCAGTTGTGATTTCCAGCTTCACCAGTTTCAGTTTGTGTTCTTTGCAGTATGGGAGAAAAACAGGCAGAACTGCATGCCACTGTAATTAAACTGTTAAACATAGAAACTTGGAGGGAGAAGCTTGTCTTACCTGTTTGGGGAGTATCTGTCAGCATATTTAAATGAAATTTTATTTTGAAACGGGATGTTTGTGATTATTGCACATTCCTAAGCAGCATAACTAGTTTGTGATCAAATGAGGGAGGTATCTTCAGAACATGTAATAACATTTATTGTACTGTAAACTCTGTACCTTCTGTATTTATTTGTTACTTTTATTTTTACAGGATCACAAAGCCATTGACATTTGCTGACTGTGTTGGTGATGAGCTTCCTTTAGGATGGGAAACTGTTTACGATCAACAGATTGGAGTTTATTATATGGACCACATAAATCGTGAGTAGATGTATGATTATTTTGAGGAATCCTAATGAGTTGATGTTACCTGATGGAACAAACTTGGCTTCTGATACCATTTATGCACCTTGTGTACTACAGTGAGAAAATGCGTACAAGTGATTTATTGCAGTGTCTGTTTTCTCATCTTTGAAATAATAGCAAAATCCTTCTTCCCTTTGTAAATAATTTTACAATCTAAGATTAAGATATAGTGTATAAAACTATTTTGTTTTGCTTTGTCATACTGTGGAGTATCAGTAATTTCTTTGATGCTTTTTGTCATGTGTTAATTACAAGGTTTTGATGGTATGCTCTTGTGTTTCCTGTCTTTCCAGTCTCCCATAGTTTCTGAGAGAAAAGTGCTGTTTTTTCATTAGAAAAACTACAAAATGCAATAATCTTATCCTCTCTTAAGCACCGTTTTATGCTGTAACTCTGTACAAAGTGCTATCAAATCAACAGCAGATGCCCCTTTTGGAAATTAAGAGGGAGAGGTTTCCACAATTTCCCTTTTGGACTATTGCTAGACTTTGTATTGCCACTCTCTGGCACATTTGCCAGTTCTACTTTTAAAATAATGTCTCATATTTACAGTTTTGTACCATTACTGCTGTTACTGTTGTGCTGCTATCATTAAGCTGCTTATCATCAAAGAGTGAATGCTTTCGATATTGTGGGAATCAGCAGTTGGCAGGGAGGTAGAAGAGAAAGTAGATGTAAGAGGCATCACATGGATGGTAAATAGTATAATCTGCAAAACCAACCTCAGTACTACCTACTTAAAATCTACTCAATTGAGAAAAGTGTAGAAATAGTTTTTGGCTTCCTGCCATCATTGGAATTACTTGTGCATTGTGGTTTTACAGTTACTTATATAAAAAAAGCACAACAGAATAACAAATATTCCCATGATATGTTTGACCCACAGAGGCACTTACTTGTCAGGAAATTAACAAAGATCACAAATTAAATAATAAACTTTTAAGAGCTGTTAATGCACTGATCACTTAAAATAACTGTTTAAAATAGGTAGTAAGTTAATGATTCCTGTTTAAATTGTCATGGTAACTTTAGTTAATGTTCAAGTTTAAAAAGCAAGGTAATGGAGTGCGTTTATACCAATGTGTATCTCTGTGTAAATGCATATATTAAAAAAATAAAAATGGATGTTGGCAACTCTTTTTTTTTTCCCTTAGACTTTGTAAGAGTCTTTAGAATACCTATAGATAATGAGGAGAACATAAACTACCATTGCAAAGCTGTTACTAAAATAAAGCAACTAAAGCTTAGGTGTCTTGATAGGAATAGCCATCACCATTGCATGCAGAAGATACCACTCACTCCCTTTTGTCCTTCAGACGTTGTTACTAGCTGATTTACCCCAGCCATCAAGTTGGAATTTACAGAAAGGATATCAATCATTTTAGACATGTCAGATTGGCTTGCATTTTTTTTATGTGCAATTGAGACCAGAAACTGTAGAAGAGTCTTTTACAGAGAAAAGTTAAATTCCCAAATGCTCATTGCACAGAATGAATCGGGAAAAAAAGCTAATCATATTAGGAATTAAATAAAGGTAATAAATGAGCAGAGGGAAAGAAACTTCTTGGCACCAGTGCTGAAATGAGTGAAAGGAATCATTCTGCAATTAACAAGGTTGCAAAATTTGTCTCTTTCATGATAGCTAATGACTTGTAGCCCACAGATATTATCCTAAATGTTAATTCAGCCATCACACCAAAAAGGGTTTGTCACCCTTAGGCTAATATAGTGCTTGCATATACAAGCAAGATGTATATTCAGAGAAAAGATGGAGTTGATACTGTAGCTGGATAATAACTATTAAAAAATTACTAGGATACTTGGTCCAATTTCAACTGTGGATGACAAAGGTACCAATCAAGACTGCATTAACTTCCTTTGTAGAAGTGAGAACTAATGAGTGGACAACAATGTGCCTCATGAGATAGTGTCAGGCAAGTGGCAGAGATGGCGTAGGAACTGAAGCAATTTTTTTGCTGAAATGAGTACTTTGTATTCTGAGCTATTTCTGAAATATTTGGAATGACAAATTGCACGTGGAAACATTTGGACTGCCTTTTGTGACTGACTGGGTTACATGCTTTCTGCAGCAGGGGGCTCTGTGTTAATTGAAAAAAAAAAAAAAAATAGTGCTTTGGTTTCAAGAAGTACTGTGAGAAAATGTAAGGGATGATTCAAAGAGAGTCTTCCTGAAGTTATGCTTACCAGGGACCTCTCATGCTTTGTGCACTGATTCAAACTTTCTGCCGTTTTAAAAGAAATAAAGTGATTTTTCCAAGCCTCTTGCTCTGTTTACCCAGAACGTAATAAGAAGATTTCTAAGCAATAATATTCCATTTATGTTGAAAAACCCCAGGAACAGAGGAATCTTCTGTAAATCTCAATGGTGCTTCCAACCCTGATCACCATCTTGTTCTGTAAATTCAGTACTTTGTTGACACCCTTACTAAGCTGCTCTTGGCTCTTGTCCAACCATTGCTTAAAAACCTTGGCAGCTGCCAGCCGCAGAATTCTTTTCACTCCTCCTCAGAGTCTTGGGAGCCTTTGAAGTCTCCTTTAACCAGTTGGGCATTCCCCAGTAGGGGAATAATATATTCTCTGCGTTTATCTGGGGCTGTTCTTAAGTCACTGTAGTATTTTGATTTTTTTTTTTTTTTTTTTTTTTAACCATTTATAAAGAAATGCAGGAAGTTAATTTTTTCATACAGCATAGCTTTAGTTTTGTTGTTACATGGCAAACTTGTGTAGAAATCCAGGGCAAAGTGAAGCCTCTGTACTTTATAAAACAGAAGAGAATGTCACTCCTGTTCTGAGGAAGTTTTCTGCCTCAGAAGAGTGCTGCTATCTTTTTAGAAGGCTTCTGAAATAGTTTGATAAGAGATGATGTGCCCTGAAATACAGGACTTTAGACGCTTAAAGTGGGTACAACATAGCATTTTAGCCTTGGCTGTTTATTTGGCTAAGAACTATTAATTTCCTACTTAAAAAGAGACACTTATTAGGAGCTAGTTTTTCTGTCTTGTAAATATTTATTAACTTCTGCATAGTTTCCATAGAGGATTCACAGTTTTAGGAATATTAAATTTGCACAGATTTCAGGAATACTTAAGGACAGATGAAATAGTGTTGCAAATTATCTTGCCCTCAGTAAAGCATGTACTGCATTGTGAACTCTGATTTCGTTTGCTTGCCCTGCATGCAGAGGAGGATTTATGGAGACTGGAACAAGTCACAGCACATCCTTCCCTGGACTGCAGAGGTAGCTTGGGGGCATTCGAGCCAGAAGGTGCTGCTGTGAATTAAGGGTCCTGGGGATGTGGGTAGAAATTGCAGAATTACAGACATGATCTTTATTCTACAATGTGAGGAATTGTGGGGAGAAAAAAGTTACAGCTGTTGAGAGAAAAGGTTACTAGGAACCAAATATACAAATCTGTTAGAAGTACACTTCACAGATGAGCTTTGTGTTTTTGTTTATGTACTTTTCAGATGACTCTCAAATAGGAGAGCTGCTAGCATGACCTTGACACATCATTATATTTCTTCATGTGTTGGACTCAATCTTTTATAGTTTTATTACTGACACCAATATACTGAATTATATACACAATATTAATACAAAACATAACTGGCTTTCATCTCTCGTGGGAAATTAAGTTTGGAAAAAATAACTAGGTGCTTACATCCTGACTGTGCTGCAGGTTCTGCCACTACTCTAACATTGCATCTGCAGCGATTTCTTACTCAGTCATCAGAAATTAACATTTGCTTAAACATGAGACTTTACATGGACATCCTAATGTAAAATATATTTGCTAGCTTGAGCATTACCACAAAAAGAAAACAAAATGTTTTAGTGTTTTAATTCATGTGTCCTCCTCAGATGTCTTTGCAACTCCAGAGAGACTCTTGTACAGTAGTAACTTTGAATATCAGTATATATGGGAAAGGTTTTGTACTGGAAACTTGCCTTTGATTTGTGTTTGAAGTGAACATTGGAAATGGGAGGCATGAGAGTGCTGTTCCTTAATGCAAGAAAAGAAGCCATTTAAATACTTTTAGGGATTTGAGATCAAAATGCTAACTTTTCTGTTGAATGACATTAATCTTAGTTACACAGGTGTAGTCACTGACCTTTCAGGATGTTATACTTGTGAAATTGTATGTAGCATCTTAAGGCTGTTCCAGCCATTTAAAGAGTTGTGGGTTAAGCATTTCATTCTCCTACGTGGTTCTGGGTTTTTAGGTAGTTCTCAGAATTTTCAAGTTGAGGGAAGGTTTTTGTTGGGTTTGCTCTGGTTTGTAAAGAGAAGAATCAACTATAAACACCTCTTCTATTTGAAAGAGCTTTTCCTTGTCTTCCACTCTGCCTCCTTCCTTCCTTCTTGTCTAGGCTGGAGGGATTTTGGGTACTGTAGTGTTGGGTGTGCTAGTCGAAAACAGACATTAACGAAATATTTTGTACTTTGTGGGATAAAGTGTCTTACACTTTTTTTTTGTGCTTTTCTCCTTAGAGCTCACACAAATTGAGGACCCAAGGGAGCAATGGAGAAGGGAGCAGGAACGCATGCTAAAGGAATATTTAATAGTTGCCCAGGAGGCACTCAATGCCAAGAAAGAGATATACCAAATAAAGCAGCAGCGTTTTGAACTAGCCCAAGAAGAGTATCAACAGTTGCACAAAATGTGTGAAGATGACAGCCATTCTTATGCCAGCTGTGAGTTTACTGGTCTTTTCTTGGTTTACCCACCTGCCTCTCACAACATGGGGTGTAAGAAATAGTGTAAAGTGTTTTCCATCACCTGATTCTCCTCTGAATGAAGATCCTGACTACAGAAGTAAGGTGCTGGCCTTTGACTCGGCTATTCAGGGACTTCCATTTCCTGTTAGATCTATTAGAATATGCCTTTTTAACATTTAACAGGGATATCCCAGCTAGCATCTGTAGCCATCTCAGAGCTAGCCATAGCAATGCTTCATGCAAGGCAACAAAGACAAGCCTGAATGTTGCTGGACCAGCCACCTACTTGCACTTCTAAATTCATAGGTTATTCCATCCTTAACATGTAGAGAAACCTTCAGCCTAGGGGAAGCCTTCTGTGAATCCATGGTTAGTTATAAAGAGTTAGGGACAAGGTGTCATGGTCAAGAGTACCTCTGACCACAAATTTGGAAGTTGTTTCACTAGTGCATGTCGTTCTTGAATGCCAGCCTCTGATCCTAATGCTGGTGATGTGGGTTGTAGAGCCTCAATTTCTCAATTTCCTGCTCTTTTCATTCTTCCATTGTCTCTGGTAGCTTGGAGTAGACAGTACACTTTTTCTGAAATGTGAAGTTGTTGCACTGCTATCTATTGGCAGTTGGCTGGTGCAACAGGAAAAGGCATCTTTTCTGAAGAATCAAAACAGTCTAGTTGAGAGAAGTGCATCAAATGGATACTCTCAACATCCTCGTGGAAACATAATAGAGTTTCACTGCCCTGGTGGCTTTTCAGTGGCTCGCATGTGTGCGTGACCAGTGTTTAACTGCAGGTTTGCTGGTAAATGCCATGACTTGAGAAGTAGGGGAAGCTGTGCTCAGCCCTTTCTGAAAATACTGAAGAAGCCTAATATTAGGGGGGGACGGGAGGAAGGTAGTGTCAAAGCAAGCACCTGGATAGAAGTGTTTAGCTGCTGATCCAGTGGTATTTCTTAAGCCAAGTCCAAAGGTAGGTAAGGTATTTCTTAAGACAGGGTGATTAACATGTATGCCAAAATCCTGATAAAAGATGTTTTCTAGGGCTGAAGTGTTCCAGATTGTCTTGACCAAGTATTCTTTTACTGTTGAATAGGGATTATCTGATATTTTTGTTTAGTTTTAATATCTGTATTCTGTGATTCTGTTTGTGACGTAACAGATGTGACTAGTATTTCTCCCTGTTATGTTGAAGTTTAAGAATTATTAAGAAAGGTTACTTTTTTTTTAATCAAGAAAGCATTTTTTAAAAAAGAAATTGTTTAAAGAGTGTTTACTCTTTAAAGGCTTGGAATAGGGTAAACATAATGTCATCAGCATTTTTAGGTTAGAAAATCTAAATTACTGTATTTGTTACAATACTCCTCTAGGCTCTTGGACATTTTGCTTCTTAAAAATTTACAGTAGTCCTATGGGATAGTTTGTTGAATTGCTTCAACAGAAGTTTCATTCTGTATATTCACCAGAAAAAGATAATACACTAGAAAAATACAACCTGTTTTTCATATTTTTAAAGCCCTTGGAAGAACAAATTGTTTGAAACAGAAACCAAATATTGCTGACAAAATTGGAGGTTATCCATACCGTGAATGCAAATGCTATGTCAATTGACTTTCATGTTTCTCTGTCCTCTTATAGATTTTTATTTTTAGGTGTTTCTGTGGAATTCATAGCGAGACACTATAAAATAATTTAAATAAAGCCTTTCATTTGTTTTGAGGCAAAAAAAAAAAATATAATTTCTACAGATGTGTTAATATATTTTATATTGGTTTAAGGTCATAGGCATCTGTTTTGAGAAAATACTGTGGGCTGATTAGTCAGATGATAAATTGAAAAAATATATGAAAATCCTTTGGGAACTAATCGTGTTGTAAACTCAAGATTCCCCAAAGCTCCTCCACTTTTTTCTTAATTTGACTCCACTCTGAAATACTTGAATCTCCATTTATTGTACAGAAATCTTAGGCTTCTAATTCAAGTGCCAAAGTTGGGTGCTTATGTTGTGAGTATTCCTGCCTCCACCACCACTTGTCTCAATGTGTTGCATTAAAAGGACTAAAGCTTCACAAACTGTTTTCCTTCTCTTTGCTTGAGGGTGCTGCTATTGACTCAGTGTTGTGTGCTCACGAGTGGGAGGTGGTGTGAGCTCAGCCTTTGTGGGTTGGTAGGGAGGTGCCCATGCAGCAGTTTTGTGACTCAGTTGTGATCAGCACTGTTTTAAAAAAAAAAAAAAAAAAATCTGTAGAAAATCCTGGATTTAGAGTATTAGTCTAGGCATGACTACTAATTTTGGCAAGTTCCTGCACGCTTGACATGACCTTGGCATTGCAGTGTTCTTTTGAAAATCTAAAGGCTTGGTGCAGTGCAGACACAGATGTGGGTTTCAAAGCAGCAGCCTTCAGCTCTACAAAAGGATGGGAGGTCTAACCGTACAACCCCATCCACTCACATACCAGTCATTTTTCAGTGGGCCAGTGCTGCTGTGAATGGCTCACTCAAGAAATCATGGTTGGTCTTGCCCAGCCTGTCCTTTAGGATCTTTACTTCATCTGTTTAGGCTTTAGCTTGAAATCACTGCCTGACTCTAGATATGCTGTGTGAAGAGCTCACTTGCCAGAGGTTGGTCTGTAAGTTGGTTCCATGCATTGTTGCTTTAGGAGACAGCTTCTCTCTGTAGCTGATTTAATTTTATTCTAATAATAGCTTTTTACTTCTGTCCCTATCATACTGTTAATTCAAGATACCTAGGAAACAATTAATAATTGTTAATGTTACACAAATTGCTTGCATCAGTAAAGGCTATCATCCTGACACGGAAGCTAGTTGCTTTTAATCAATATTCAGTGCTACTATATACAATTTTTGTTGTTGGTGTCAGGACAAAAAAAAAATAAATCGGGCGTGCCAGAGGTGATTCTTCAGTTGTACTTCAGCACAGAGGATTATTTTAAAACTTAGTGACTTATAGCACACAGAATCAATGCAATGGTCTATAAAGTAAAAAAAAAATTAAAATGCTGTTTTCCATCTGTTTAGCATTCTCTGGATTTTCAGCTAATACTAAGTATGACCCATATCAGATTAAAGCAGAAATAGCCAGCCGTCGTGACAGAGTGAGTAATCTTTTTTAATTTTGTCAAAATATGAATTACACATGGGGAAGGGAAGAGGACGGTGTGTTTTTCTTTTACCTTATCATGTACAATGGATGTTGCATGCCTTTTTTGAAATATAATTCTAAAACCTGCTTTTCTAATCTGACCTATTGTTCTTGTAAAATGAGTCTGTATTTATTGCTTTTCAGTGAGATGTGTAGTAATGCTTTTTCCATGTTACAAGCATAAAAATTTTTGTCATGGATGTCAGAGGCAAAGTCAGCCACGCTTTCAGAAATTGCTTTCTCTGTGCAAACTGCCACAAGTAGTAAATAATCTGCAGCCAAATTCTTTCTGAAGTGGAACTCAAACTCGCTATCTTTAATATTTTCTCATTTACTGTTTTCAGTGGGGTTCCATGGATGTCATTGCACTCTGGATTTAGCAGTTTATTTGGAAATCTGTTCACAATTCAGTATATATGTTGGCCAAATAGAACTTTTATAAATTTATAATATTGAGCTCTAAAACCTATTCCTAAATGGAATGTTTCTTTTTATTATTTTATCCCATGCAAAATGGGATTTAGAATGCCAGGCACTCAGCTTACAAAAAAAAATAAAATCAAAATATTAATCTTTGCAGGATATTGTCCCATTTTTGTTGTAATGACCACTTTTCACATGAATATAAATACCATTCACTACCCTTCAAAGGCATTTACTCTATCTGTATGTTTATTTCATGCTGAGTAGTGTTTGTTTGTTTTACATACTCTAAATGTCAGCATATTCTAAACAAGAAAGTAACCTGTATTTATTTAAATAATATTGAAAGAAAGTAAACAAGTTCTTCACCTATGTGACTGTTTCTCCCTGTTCCTGCATCTTAAAACAAAATGGTCTCCTAAGTGCATAGGATAACCTGCCCAACTGAATGTGTGCATAGGCATTGAATTGTTTTGGGCAATAGAATAAAATATGTGCTATAAAATGTATACATGATATTAGTGATGCATTTTTTCATTTTACTTTTGGTGAGTGGTCAAAGAGTTGGTGACGATACAGAAGTGCTTTGGGGGCTGATGCAATGAGTTTTGAGGACAGAGCAAGAACACATCAGGAAGGGATAGCGACATAGGATGGTGGGACTCTGGCAGTTGTGGTTTACATCCCTGGAACTGCTGTAAAGCCCCTCAGCCTTGGAGCGGAGCTGTCAAAATTAAATCTATGCCTGGATATGTAGGATTTTTTTAAACTCTACATTTACTCTTACTCATGTTTTTGTCATTTACTGATGTACTAATGTATTGATATGTGAAAATCAAGACGCTCGGGGTACATTTTAGAAAATATACCAAGTTTGATACCTTGAGAAGAAGGAACTTTTTTTCTCCCATCCCTGCCCCTCTTTGGGCTCTCAGTTCAATCTCATGCCCCACCACCACACACTGAAACACCTCCATTCTCCCTATTAGTCCCTTGCATCCTCCTTTCCCTGTTGGCCTCAGATATCTAACAGCTTTGGAGGGCAAGAAGCTATTTCTTTGCGGATCAACCTTGGTGCTGATAGCACTCTTCTGAGGTCTGCCCTACCAACTCAGGTAACTTGTTTTCATAAGTCACAAAAATATGTTTTTAGAGACATCGCTGCTTTGTTGCTTCTGATGTATGCTTGCCAGTTGGATCAAGGTAAATGATTGGGGCACAAAGAGGGCAGGACAGTATGAAAATAACTAGAAAATTGGGCTGCCATTTCTGGGAGAGGCCAGGTCTGTTGCCAGTGATTTTGTTTTCCCAGATTGAAAAATTAACAGCATTGATTATTCATTCTTTTTTTAAAAAAATTAAGTAGAGAGTTGAAGACAGTTGAGAGATGTCTGTCAAAAGGGGAGAAGAAAAAGTGTATAGGTTGAAAACATTCTAGCTGTAAGCATAAGCTATTGGAGTTAGAAACCAAATAGAATGGGTGCCCTGAAATCTGGAAGTTGTGATTGCTGTTTGATTAGGTCTTCATATATTTCAGAAAGTCTTTTGATATTTTAAGGCAAGTTTTAAAGCAAGAAAAGAAGATAACTTAGGTTACCGCTATCAGTTTTTTAAAGTAACTTAAGATTTTGTATTTGAAAAGCAATTATTATTATGAAGTTTTCTGTTAGATATTATTACTTTAAAATATGTGCTATATTTAGCTTTCTAGGCTAAAACGAGAATTGGCACAGATGAAGCAAGAGCTGCAATATAAAGAAAAAGGAGTGGAAACTCTGCAAGAGTAAGTTAAGGGTTTGTGGGAGGATTTCTTTTTTTGTTTGTTTTATAATTAATTTCTTAGAAAAGCATTGCCAAAAAAAGAAGTTGAAGCCTCTTAATTGCTTTGCTTCAGAGTTTCTGCAATGATAGTGATGTGGGGTGAGGACAATGTGAAATGATGGAAGAAGGGTTGAACAGAAATACCTACTGCCTGGAGCACAGCCTGAAGCACTACTCAGTAGTGTTCCTGTGAAGAGTACTGAGGCTTTCAGGCTGGGCACAGTACTTCTCTTGCGGGGGCAGAGGCTACACACCACAGCACTGCTTCTTCCTTTTACCTGATGGTCAGGCCATCTCATTTTGCCCAGTATAGCTGATCTGTGTGTGTACTATAAAGCTGATAAGCTGTGAGACCTTGGATTTTGTTGCATGTGTGCAGAATGAGCACATGTAAATGTGACTCCTTCTCTCCTCCTGGTGAGGAAAGGTAGGGGCAATTTGCCACTGCCCAGGGCCATTAGGCAGACTGTTCTCTGTTTCCTTTGCGGTCAGTGGTGGCAAAGGTTGTGAACTGTTGTGGTGACCCTCTTCTGCCACTCTTCCTGCAGGCCATCAGATGGGAACTGAGTGACTTCCATCTGTGCGCTGCTTAGTCACCTACAGCATAGCACATATGCGGGATGCACAGAAGGATAGGGAGAGAGGTTGCCAGGCCATGGAAAAGATGGCAGGTAAATGCAGGTTGTTGTGATTTCCAGATCTGTTCATCCAGGCCAGGGGCTAGGTGTGTTGAATGGCTCTTGGGTTTGCCTTGAACATGCAGCCATGCATTTAGAGATCTTGGCCTTTTTTCCAGCATGCATGTGAACAAGGTGCTTAATGCAGGCACTTCCTGAAAGTGCTGGAACTGTTGCATGTCTAACGCATTTTGCAGCATAAATATAATATATGTGGAAATATTTTTAAGCTTCAGATTTATTGTGTTGATGCTACAAAGCATGGGCACATACTTTCATTTTAGGAATTCTGCCAAGTTCCAGAGATCCTGGAGCAATTATGTTACTTATTTTCCAAATTCGATTTTGATTAATATTTAGTTAACAAAATTATATAAAGAGAGGAACTCAAATTTTATTTTTAAAGGAGGGGGAGTAGCCCATGCATTTCATATGATGTGAGTTTTGGGGTTTTTTTTTAAGCTTACTAGTTTTTGCTGTTTTAGAATGCTCTTTAAAAGCTTCAGCTTTTAAAATGTTTTCAGCCAAAATCCTTCATTGGCAGATATAATGTAAACATTTCCAGGCATAAGTATATTTTAATTGACTACACAAAGCGTTTACAGGTAATTAGGGAAACTATTAATATATGGTATTGACTAAAAATTAGTAAATAAAGCCCTCAGTATATTGAAACAGCAAGTATTTTAAGTAATATTTGAAGTATAGTAATCTTTTTAGGATGGTGGCCTAGATATATAAGCAGAAACAGAACAAAAGCGATTTTGTCTTAAGATCCTTAATAGTCTTTTCTATAAGTGAGTAAGAATTGCCATGCCTTTTCTACTTCTTTTAGTTGTTTTTCTTCTCCTGGTTATTGCATTATTTTCATGGTGTAGGTTCAATTGTTTTACAAAAGGACTAACCACTTGACTAGAATGATGAAAGTATTTGAAGGCCATTTGAAACTCAAATTGTTTTAATTAATATAATTCATATAAGATAGTCAAGCAAGGTAGTGCAACTTTTGAGAAGTGAAGTCTGCAAATTATTAAGAATACAAGTGTTAGTCTTGGATTGTAGCCCGAGTGAAGTTGCCTATACTTCAGGAGGGGGACATAGGAAAGACATTCAAGAGGGGAATTATTTTAAAACATACTTGATTAGTTAGTGGTCACTAAAAATCTAGTTTAAAAGTTCAAATATGAAAACTCAGTGACTTGGTGCTGCTCGTTGCTGCTGTTGCTACAGTCACTCTGTGCAGTTGGTGCACTGGTAAGCATTTGTTGCTTGCTGAAGCTGGGGAGAATGTTGTGCCTGTGCATTTTCTGGGATTGCAGTGAATTTCCCCCCAGTGTTTGTGCGTTGCTGAGCTGTGCCATCTGCCATGACTTCTTTACTTGTGAACCAGTGGCTTACGGATTTAGTTTTGTGTTTTTAAGTTATTTTTAAATTGCCTTTCTGGTGAGATAGATGCTTTGAGTATTTTGCTTCTAGTAGGAAGTGGGCCAGTTTGGAAAGTACTCACACTGTCTAACAACTGAACAGAGAAGTTTCTCTAGCTTCCTCATGTAGTCAGCAGACAAATCAGGCTAAAAGCTCAGCTGTGCACTAGGTTGTCCCTGAACAGTCTCCCCCCTGCTCCTTGTATTTGTTGAGAGGAATGGGTGGCTGAAGTCAAGTACCAAAGCTGAAGTATTTACTTTTTGCATATCCACAAAGTAAATGTACTGCCTGAGAAGAAAGTAATGGCTCTTTTCAAAAAGAGAAATTCTGTGATTTCCCCCCTCTGCCTTTTTTTTTTTTTTCCCCTCTTTAGAAAATATTTTGCTCTTTTGTTACCTTTTCTAAATTTTTGGTGTGCATGGATTTTTCTTCCTCCTTGTGCTAGGTCAAATCTTAAACTAACTGCCGAACTGAGAATGGCATGCATCCTGTTCAGCTGTTTTAAAGCCATGTTGTTCACTTTATTTCAAGTACAAGCCAAGAACAATATTAGGAGCTGTCACACTTTGGGCTTTACATCTGGCTGAATGTTTGTTTTGAAACTCTGACCAGAATTGCATAATGAGCAGGTATCAGAACCTGGTGCCTTGTGACTCCCTCTGCAACCTCTGCTGGGTGTAGCTCTCAGACAAGAGAGAAATTTTACAGTGAGGGTCGTTAGGTTCCTCAGTAATTTCCGTCATTTTATGTTACTGTCTGATTCAGATGCCTTTGTTAAATGCAAATATCTTGGATTGACATTTTCCACATACCAAGTCTGTCTTGGACTGTGTTTTGTTTTCTGTTCTTTTTAATTTTAGTAAAATGGCTCGGCCACCTTTGAGGAGTACAAAAAACCCCAAACAAGCCCACAAAACAATTGGACAAAAGTGGAGTTTTTGGGGGGCGAGAGAGAATTGAGGTTTAAGTAGCTCTACAACTTCAATACAGTCAGAATTTAAAGGTTTTTTTGTGCTGCAGCTTTTTGTTAGAGCTGTATTTTCTACACTTTAATCCAAAGTTGGCAAGTATGTTTTAAGCCTCTGGACTGAGAGCACATCAGTCTGCCTTTGCCCCCTGGAGACTTTCTAGAGCTCACCATTTAAAGCCAGTGAAGATCCTGCCCTGTGCAACCATGTTGCCCGGCCTCCGCAGGCGCCTTTGCCCCGAGGTGTGGCTGATCTGTCGCAGTCCGGAGTTACAGGGTTAAAGATGAGCCTTTCTCAGAACAAACTCCTTCCTCTGACCTGACAGCAGGGACTGTGAACCAGGAGCAGTTCAACCTCTCCTGTGTTGTCAAAAAAAAGCAGGAATTTTGGAGGAGGAAGGCGTTTAGTAACAAAGGAAATGAAAACTTGGCCAGTAGACTGAGGGAGTGAACACTGAGAGAAGTTGAGAGAGACAGAGAATTCGGACTGACTAAACAATTTGTGGCAGCAGACTAGTTTAGAGGATATGAGACCTGACAAAAGCTTTAAAATTAGTTTTTTAACTCAATGGCGGGTCTGTGCTTTGGTGAGGATGGGGTCTGTCTTGCATACTTGAAAGCATGTGAGGAAAAACAGAGGAATCTCTAGGTTCAGTCCCTATAGAACTGAAACTATTGCGAGTTTATTAATAGTCTGTATCGTAGAAACATCTTCCTCAGAAAAATTATACTTTATTCATAGTTTTGTGCATTAGTTGAATGTTCTTTCTATTCATACAAAGGTCTAATCTCTATTTCTATCATGCTATTTTCCATTAATAACATGGAAAATTCCTGTTAGCTTTGTGGCTTTCAAAACTAGATCCTTATGAAAGGAGGAAAAAAACCTAACAGATAATAAATAACAAGTAATTAAGATACTTAAGTCAGTTTGGGGCTGACAGCAATACTGATTTAAGGTCAGATATTTTTGGCAATAGAAACTTTTGTGATTCTTTCCTTAAACAAACATAAATTAATAACTTGGGCTTCAAAGTGACGTCTAGGAACATGTATATGTGGGTAACTGGGCAAAAATCTAGTTGAAATTAAAGAATTTCCTTTTCCTGAAATGCCACCTTGAACCTGACAAACAGTATAATGAGCAGTTGTGTAAAAGGCACTTTTGAGTCTAATGTTTGGGTGGAATCTATGTTCTTAACATTAAGGTAACCTCCAGATGAAACCACGTTATCTTTTTCATGTGACTTTTAGTGAACTGAATTAGTTGTTTTACCATAGCTTTATCTACACTTTTCAGGATTTTAACTAAACATTAGTGAAAACCCAAGTAAACATCTTAGAAGGAAAACAGAAACAACAAAACAAAATTTAATCCACATGACATTTAAGTCCTTTCTTGTTCTTGAACTAAAAATCATAAAGGCTTATATATTTTCTTATGCTACATGAGGAAAATTCTGTGTAAGTAGAAAGACTGAGGTTCAGACTTATTTTATGTTGTCTCCAAAAGCAGGAGCTGTTCAAAAAAACCAAACAAACCAAAACAGTAGAAACACAATCTGCATTTTTTTCCTAAAAGGTATTTTCATTCAAGCCTTTTGATTTTTAATTTCTGTATTTTAGTTTTAAAGCAAGTAATATGCTTCAAGTGTCAGACATGCTGAGCGAGTGTTGTTGACACTGTTACTTTAATATAAAATACTTAACTTGAAACCTGTAGTTATTCTCAATATTTGAAAGTAAGTTTGAGTATTCTAGTCATATATATAGCATACCCTCTGCTATTAGATCTTTTCATAAACAGATGTCCTCTGTAATGGCTGGTATATATTTTATCTTTAATTCTCTTAACCAGAGACACGTTTTCCTGTAGATGTTCTTAGCAATGTCTTAAGGACCATTACACATACCACCTTTTCCCTATGTACACACTTTCAACACTTAGATTAACAAGAAAATTAAAGTTTCTGTATTTTAACAGGAATTTAACACTATTTTTAGTAATTGCTGTGGGTAGCTTGTTAAAATCACATAGCTGGCTGCTAGAAATCCAACACCAAATTATTATTCTAGTAAGTTCTGCAGAGTCTATGGTGTTGTTCAAAGCAAATTGTCAAGGTGACATAATGAGATAGGCTTCTGCATCCTGATCTGTTGTCCTTCACTATTGCAAACTGCTGGGGAAAAAGTTAAAAACTCATCTGATGGGTTTCCTACTTCAGAGATTTTTATGTCAAGTTGGAATCATGAGTAGTACTTCAACCTAGTATAGTGAGTAGCATTCTTTCTCCTTGCTGAGTTTGCATTTGAAGTCTTCTGGGATGGTCCCATGTGATGTTCCCTGTGGGACAATGATGTGTTCTAGAAAAGATACTCAAAGATGCCTATAATGGCAAGAAAGCATTTGAAATAAATTTTTTGGAATTAAAAATGTATTCCCAAGAAAATGAAATGCCTTTGTTTGTTGCAGTAGTGGTACATGGAGCATGTGACAGCTAGACTGCTAATATCTTCATCCTTTGAGTTTTTACTGTGTTAAGTTAGTTTTAGATTTATTTTACTTTTCTTGTGTGAAATAGCCCACGGGCATTGCTTGTAATACAGTAGGCTCTGTATTAGGACATTAAAACGAGGAAATTTGTTGGTTCTGCAGAACCTGGTAGATAATTGCCTTGCTTTGTCTTTAGAGTGTACTTGGCACTGAATGCTGTGTGAATTCCAAGTAGAGTTTCATTTTATTCCTGGAAATAAAGTGTTACATGAATAAACAAGAGGTCTTATAATGTCTATGCATTTTCCGATTATGTGAAAATTCCTGAATTTGTCTTAATCTTTTTGACAGGATTGATCGTAAGATGTCAAGTGCTCATACAAATTATAGGCTGGATGAAGCACAAGCTATAATGAGTGAGCTTCGAACTATAAAGAAAGCTATATGCACAGGTGAAAAAGAAAGGCAGGACCTTATGCAGGTAAGAAATACCCTACTGAACAAATAGCTGCTCAACAGTAATAACCTACCTCGCTTCCCTATTTTGGGATTGCATTGGGGTTGCCAAGGTTAAATAAGGAAATGGAGTAGCCTAAACTGATTTTTCTATTTGATAATTGCCAGTACCGGGCAGCTTGGAGATGTAAGTAGTAATTGTCTATACTGTGAACACAAGACTTTGCATGCATTTCATACTTTTGTCTTACATAATGTGCTATCCTTACCTTTAGATCCATGTCTTTATAGAATATAGCTTTCCATTGCAGCTGACTATGTCAAAGACTGCTATGAAGTGTGATTATACTGTATTTTTTAAAAAATGGTATTTTCATTTGGTTTAATGTTTATTTGTATTACCTAATATGAACTGCAGATTAATGTACTAAAATGTTTACCAGTTTGTCTACCATGTTTTTCATTTTATAAGCATTTCACAAAGCTGGATCTCTAGGTCACTATGCCACAGTTGGACAGTTCTCCTTTTTTTTGTCCCAAGCTGTCTGTTAAGTACCCATATCAAGACACATGTTAATTTCAGTTGTTCTCACAAAATTTTCAAGGAATATGATTAAATACAATGTATACAAGAAACCCTTATACAGGCTTTAAGTTATTTTATGAATCAGAGCATGAGAGTTGAGGGGACATACATGCCTGAGTAGTGATCTAACTTTTGGATGGGCTCTGCATCCTGCTTGGAGCTCTGGGTTGCTATATCTCCATTATTAATGTGATGGAAACTCAATCAAAGAGCCATGAGCCTCTACCACCACAGGGACTTTGGTATAGACTTGCCCAAATATGCTGCAGATACAGAGGGATGACAAGGACAGTTCTCTTCACCTGGTCTTCACATTGCTATATGGAAAAAAGTGTCTTTGTTACCTAAGTTTTTGAGATTGTACTCAATATTGTAATTCAAACACTTTCTTTCAATTTTTTTCTGCAGTAGTGTTTTGCAGTTATTTATTCATTTATTTATTTATTATGATTGTTAAGTGATATGGGGAGCTTATAATCTACATATAACGAGTTTTCATAGTTACACAATTATTCAGTCTCCATAGCACTACCCAAAGGTCAGCTGATGGACCACAGATCCTTGTTCAAGTAGACAGAACACTTAAGTCACTATGAAAAGTTTCTGCCTTGGCAACTTTTAGCATATTTGATATTTTGTGTTGGCCAAGTTTTAACGTGATACTTGGTCTTCCACATGCCTGGCTAGCCAGGAATGATTAGAAAGGCAGTTCTTCACAGATGCAGTGACGCACGTTTGAGGAAACTAACTGGTAATTTAAAGACCTGTCTATGAGTACTTGGAGCAGGTTAACTACTGGCTTTGTTTTGACTCCCCCACTAGACTTTCCCCCTCCCCCCCCCTTTTTCCTTACATTTTCAATTCTCAGTTAGTGGCACTAAATCCACTTGTAAAGATTGCGATGCCTTGAGAATCATATCTGTTAAAACAACTTCAAGTGCACTTTGAGTTTCTTTAAATACAGTATTGAGAGAGTTAGAAGTCTAGGAGCAAGCTTAGCATCAAGGATTGGACAATGCTGGCAGCACCAGAACATAGAAGTTGCACAAGACAAGCAAAAATGAGAAGTGTTTAATGGGTCTTCTTAATGGGTCTATGTGACATATAGGAAATATCAGTGTAGGAGGTGTATTTTTGTAAATATTTACAATCTGTTGTCATCCAATAATTAATATATGTAGTCCAGGAGAATCCAGAAAACAGTTGTTTCATACAGGCCTTGCATGCAAAACAATGCTATGTGTTTTGTTGTGATTTTAACAACGGACTAAGTGATATAGTTTACAAGATTTATAGTTGTGAAAATTGTGTCCTACTGCCAACTTATTGTGCTCTGCAAAAATACCCAGCTTTTTCTGATATTTTTAATATTTTGACCAATCACCATACTTCTGTGCTTTTCATTTTTATAATTATTTGAAGTTTATTGATATACATTTATTTAGCTTTGTCAAACAAGTGTGAGTCTATTTTAAGTCCCTTCCTAATGAGTTCAGAATGTTATTTTTAATTTCCTATGAATTTTGAAATTGTTTTGTCTTTGAAAATGCTTCATTTTAAAGCAATTGTTGGTAAGACAAACTTTCTTATGAAAAAGTGGTTTTGAAAGCTGTTCATAAAGGAGTTTGAACTATTGTGTAGACAGATGAGGATTTATTTCAGAGAAAGGAGACAGACAATTCTTATTTAGACAGACTATTTCTTATTTTAAATCTGGCCAGTGTAAGCAGCAGGACTAAACATAGTAGAAGTGACTCAGTCTTGTGTAGGTGCTTGGAAAATTGTAGCTGTCATAGAAATATGATAATTGGATTGAGTTGTGTGGGAGAGAAGGCTGATGAGGGAATGAGAAGGTGGTCAGTTTTAAACTGGATGCTGTGGTTACAAATAAAGCCAAATATGCAGTGTCGCTGCTCCAACAAAGTGGGCGATCTTCTTAAGTAAGATTGAGTAACCAAGGTGTGTGGTTAGGTTCCTGAAAGCAGTATGTGTCCCCCGCTCCTCATCCGTTTCATATTTTTGTTTTGGTTCTAGTATGTGTATGTACTTTAAAAGTTTAATGGGTCTTCTTAATGGGTCTATGTGACATATAGGAAATATCAGTGTAGGAGGTGTATTTTTGTAAATATTTACAATCTGTTGTCATCCAATAATTGATATATGTAGTCCAGGAGAATCCAGAAAACAGTTGTTTCATACAGGCCTTGCATGCAAAACAATGCTATGTGTTTTGTTGTGATTTTAACAACGGACTAAGTGATATAGTTTACAAGATTTATAGTTGTGAAAATTGTGTCCTACTGCCAACTTATTGTGCTCTGCAAAAATACCCAGCTTTTTCTGATATTTTTAATATTTTGACCAATCACCATACTTCTGTGCTTTTCATTTTTATAATTATTTGAAGTTTATTGATATACATTTATTTAGCTTTGTCAAACAAGTGTGAGTCTATTTTAAGTCCCTTCCTAATGAGTTCAGAATGTTATTTTTAATTTCCTATGAATTTTGAAATTGTTTTGTCTTTGAAAATGCTTCATTTTAAAGCAATTGTTGGTAAGACAAACTTTCTTATGAAAAAGTGGTTTTGAAAGCTGTTCATAAAGGAGTTTGAACTATTGTGTAGACAGATGAGGATTTATTTCAGAGAAAGGAGACAGACAATTCTTATTTAGACAGACTATTTCTTATTTTAAATCTGGCCAGTGTAAGCAGCAGGACTAAACATAGTAGAAGTGACTCAGTCTTGTGTAGGTGCTTGGAAAATTGTAGCTGTCATAGAAATATGATAATTGGATTGAGTTGTGTGGGAGAGAAGGCTGATGAGGGAATGAGAAGGTGGTCAGTTTTAAACTGGATGCTGTGGTTACAAATAAAGCCAAATATGCAGTGTCGCTGCTCCAACAAAGTGGGCGATCTTCTTAAGTAAGATTGAGTAACCAAGGTGTGTGGTTAGGTTCCTGAAAGCAGTATGTGTCCCCCGCTCCTCATCCGTTTCATATTTTTGTTTTGGTTCTAGTATGTGTATGTACTTTAAAAATGTTGTCCTTTATCCTTAGGAAACATTGAAGTTTGGGTTTTTTGTGGGGTTTTTTTTGTTTGTTTGTTTTTTTTTTCCTTTCCTTATCAGTTAAATAGGCTAAATAGGGTAGATAGGAATTGCACTGAAATTGGATGTGGTACAGAGCTCCAAAATCAGGTATCAACAGACAATGATGAAATGACAAGTGCTCATTTCTCTCTTTTTGGGTAGGTCTGTGCTGGTGTGCCTAGAACTTCACATCCATAAGATAACCTGGTCTGGCAGATTCTCTAAGATTGCCATAAACAATCCATAAACCCCAGATGAAAGAGGGATTTCTCCATTTAGCTGGGGAGGATATTAGTCTTAGCAGTTTATGTAAATTGTTTCTATCTAAAACTATTGCTAAGTCAGGTTGTAATTGTCAGGGTTAGGATTGCTGGAGGCTGTGCCACTCAGTCAACTAGAAGGACTCAAAGCATCTATTCTTCACCCTAGAGCATAATCACCTATGTATGTAGATGTAAGTTAAGGTGATGCTATTTGGTGATTGCCACCTGCCATATGCTGTGTAATTTTAAACTAG